TCCCGCGGTGGCTGGTCCCCGGGGAGGTGGAAGAAGGTCTGCGAAGCAGGTGGGATCCCCTAAAAAGTCCCTCCTCGCCTCAGGAAAATGGGGTTTGGGCTAAGTTGATGCCCGCTGAGGAAATCCCCTCTCGGCATCGAGGAGATGTGGGAGGCGAGGCGGCTGCTGGGGCTGGCACACGGGAGTCGGGGGAGGGCAGCCAGATTCCGAGCTGGGAAAAACATTCATTTCTGGAATTAGCTCCCCGGAGTGGGTGAGGTGCCATTGCCCTCTTTCCTTCAGGCGTTTCGAGCCTAATCTGGGAAAGAAGGGATGGAGAGACCGGCACAAAGAGCGCTCGCTGCCAGCACTGCAGCCTGCCTGGGTTCTCCCTATCTCCTGGCCTCGCTGCTTTCCACACTTACCAGCCCTTGCAAAACTCGGAACTGGAAAGTGGACTGGCTCCAGACAGGGTTGCAATTGCCTTTTTCCAAACCTTGCAGTGGCTTTTTTCTTGTGAAGAATGAATGTGGTTAGCATGAGGCTGTCCGATGCAGGCCTCATCCCTACAGCACAAAGTTGCCATGAAAGATGTGATTTAAAATGTCCTGGTGAACACGTGTGGTCTGCAAGGGGATGGCTCCCTCATCGCTAGCTCGTTACATTGAATTGCAAATCAATTTGTGCATCAGCAGTGAAATTCTAAGGGCCAGGTCTGCTCTGGGCTTTGTGCAGGTGAAGCTCATTGCCTGGCTGGGCATAACAACCTAGAGGATGGTATCTCCCTGGGCTGCAATCCAAAAGACTAAGTGCAACTTTGATACTGCTGAAATTTTTGCTAGCTAGGAAGCAGTCTAGACACTTTGGTAAGACATGAGTCTAGCGGAAACCCTGGGTGAGTTCTGGCAGCCCAAAAACCAAAGCTAATTTAGGCTAGTGCAGGTATTTCTCTGCAAGCTGTAGGTGTGTTTTCAGATTGTGTTGGAGATGTACCCTGAAGGACTGACCTTCCCTGGGAACTAAAGGACAGCTGCAGCACAGGCTGTGGCAGTATCCCAACACCCCATTGAAATTCCTGCGTCAGAATGCAAAATGGATCAACCCAAATGCAAATTCAGCTTTCCCATCCTCTTCAGTAATAGAATATTTTACTTTCCTGATGCAAACAATGTCAATGTTATGGCACGTTCTGATCCATAGAGGGGAAGAAGGACCCAGTAAAACATACCATGCTTACATTCTCAGTATATATAGAAGATTAGCATGGTGCATTAATTGGTATTCAGACTAGCTTTTGGCAGAGTGATGTGGAAGAAAATTGACCTCAGAACTGCCCAGGCTGTACCTGTTCTCTGAATCAATAGTGGGTCCCTGTATTTAATACCCTTTATCAGCATTACTCTTTCCATTCCGTTTCCACTCATTCCATTGCTCTGGGCAGATCAAGGGGGTGGATTGGTTACAGTCACTTGCATAGTTTGGATAGAAAATAAATCTGTATGCTTTTTCTGATTATTTAAATGAGAATTGCAACCAACAAACTCCTTTTAATCACTTGCTACAGAGTGGATAAAAAGCTTTCTGATTTTCCAACTTACATCTGGTAAAGGTTGCCTGTGACTCAGGAACTCCATGATTCAAGTTCTTCCTCACAAAATTTTGGATGTTTTTCAAAGCTCTGGCTTAGTTCCTGGCTTTACTAATTGGGCGAGAACTTCCTGGAATCAGAATGTTAATCTGAACCTTTTTGTTTTGTTACCAATCTGAACAACTCCTATTTTGGCTATTGTGCATCTGTTGCAGACCCAACTTGGTTTTAGGCCAACTTTAAAATAGATTTTTTTTTCCTCCTCCTTTAGTTATTTTGCTATTAGACTCAAATAGTAGCAAAAATTGATCGAGGATGTTTGGTGCACCTCTTTGAGGTGCATAACAAAATATACTAATATGATTAAATAATTGTTTCTGTGTGAGCGTCATAAGGTTTTGATGGACAGCATGCTCTTAAAACACAGTAAGGTACATGAGTAACATAAACACAGTGTGGTTTATTGTTGGAAATGTGGTCAATCAATTAAAGAATGTGAAAGCAAGTTGGGATTTCTGAGTTCTGTCTTTAGTCACTGATGTGCTGTGTGACACTTAAGTTGGTTAGTGTAGTGGAGCTTGACTGTGTAACTATTTCTTTTGCATTTAAGCAGGGAGTATGATGAGTTGTTAATGTTTGGTTATTAATATATTAATTGTTATATTGTAATATATTAATTAACTCTGAATGCCTTAAAGCCACTTTTCCTGTTGAAGAGAAAAGCTTAACCTCTTGCTTGGATCTAGGTTAACTGTGCCAGGTTAATGGGTGGACTTGATGATCTTGAAGGTCTTTTCCATCCTAAACGATTCTGTGATTCTATGATCTGTTTTTTATGGTATCCTCATGGATAAAGCTCCTGTCTGACTTCAGTCCTTCTTTGGTCCATGAGATACACCTCTCCTGCTACTGCCTATGCTCTGTATGTCCAGTCTGTAAACAGAGCATCTCTGTCCAGAGCTGTTGATGAGGCATATATCACTAGAACAAGTAGTATTGAAAATTATTTAAAACAAAGCCCAGAACAAGCTTGAATGCTACTAATGCAAATTAAAATAGTCAATGTTTTAAAGTGGCCTTACCACATGTTAATCATGAGCAGAATAGAGATTGAGACAACAGTCTGGTTCTCTTGTCAGATACAGCACAAAGTTAAGCTTGCTCATTTGTAGAAACAGCTGTAGGTTTTACATTTTTTTTCTTCGGGGAAATAGCTGAGAGTTAATGCATGCTTGTGACTTTCCTAAAAAGCTCTAACAGGTTGGTTAAGATGTGTCTTTGAACAGTCGGCACCAAGGCATATTCCGATAAAAAAATCTGTATCGACTACATCATACTAGTAAAAGTTAATCAGAACAAGGGCAAATATTGGCTGGGCTTTGATAACTTGGAGAACAAAGGTGTGTGTAGACATTAAATAACAAGGAGACAAGTAAGATGAAGGTTTTTCTCAATTATGGTTTTAAAACCAAATTAGGCATGTTAAGATCAAATTTGTGTTTTGTCCTCTGCAATTTAAATGTAGGTCTCCTCTTCTTGAAAATTTAGTGAAAAGGTTGGCTTCAGAATTTGTGTGAACCAGTTTCTAAATGGAATGAAGGAGTGGAATCTTATAAGGGTATTGCTCTGTCATAAAAATGGTTGAACTGTGTTATCTCTGAAATCCTCTTGCCCAATGCTGCATTGCAGGGCAGCTGTCTCTTGCAGCTGGGCAATGGTGTGAACCTTATGGATCCAAGTTTCCAGCAAAAACTGGAGGGTGAGAAGGAACTACTTCGCCGTGCTATACAGAAAGAACTGAAGATTAAAGAGGGAGCAGAAAACCTGCGCAAAGCGACAACAGACAGAAAGAATCTTGTTCATATAGAGCATGTGCTGAAGTCTTCCAACCGAAAACTGGAGCAACTGCATTGGGAACTTCAGGAGCTAAATGCAAGGATTGTAATAACAGATAAAGAGGAGAGTAATACAGGTAGCTCTTGGGTCATGATTGACGGGAAAATTCTGTTATAGTGTCATCATATATTGAATTGATAGATTTTTCTGTTGAAGGCTCACAAGTAGTGAGAGTTTCTTCTGTGGGTATTTAGCTGATGAAATGATCTGTGCAGTAAAAATTTGAGAATGGGGCAATAAAGGTAAAAGGAGGCAACACAAGAGGTCAGTGTAGGGAGAAGCCCAGCTGAGAGTGCTGGGCATGGGCAATATGTAGGAGCAGGCTGTAGGTGGAATTGAAGAGATTTGAATAGAGTGTTTTGGCAGTTGAGCATCCAAGTATTTTGCAGGATGAATGAGTATAAAATTGGCAGAGTGCTTGTTAGGACGGGTTCACTGATAAACTAAGAAATATTTACAGATATGAACCTGAGCTTCATTTGAAAGTGTTTTGCAGTCAATTTTGTAGAGAAGACCTTTTTGTACCTTATTTTATAGCCTAACCCTCTTTTATAGAGCCACCCATCCATAACCCAGTGAAATGACACAAGAAAAGCTGACTAAAGGTATTAATTGTATTGTTTGTGCAGATGGATCTGTATCTCCAGATCCTTGTCTCTGGGAAAGAAACCCAGACCCAATGGCAAGGAAGGTTGAAGCTCTGAAAAAGCAGCTGCATGTTGAAATGAAAGTGAAGCAAGGAGCTGAGAACATGATCCAAATGTATTCAACATCCAAGGTAAGCAGGAATAAGCAACCATTTGGGAATGTGGATTCCTGGATCAAAGTTTGTATTTAAAGTCCGTACACAAAAGCGGTCTCTGGTAATTGGTGTGTGAAAGAAATTCATTTGCGAAGCTTGCTTGACAGAAGCCTAGCTCTGCGTTTTGGTGCTCCGCTTAGTGACAGCATGTCCAGTTACTGCCCAGGACAACCAATACTGCAATCGTGTAACATTCTTACTACAACATGTTACAGACTTCAGGAATTTAGCAGGAATCAAAAAGGAATTTGATGGCGCATGTTTCATTTGGCAAGAGCTTAAGCCAATCTGTAATTACTGGATGTTAGGAAAAGGCTTTTCTGAAAGTGTAGTTTGTTCCACTTTGGCCTGTGATCTGGTTGCCTATGCCTTTTTTTCTGAAGCATCTGGTGGTGATCACTGTTAGAGGGGAGTTATTAGACTGGACAGATGGGCATAGTCTTGCAGTTTTGATGCTTTTGGCTGTTCTTACGTGGCAGATGCTGATTCTGCTTCTGCTCTTAAATGTTGCTTAGTGGTATTAACGATAGAGTTGGGAATCTCTACTGTGGTTTTAACTTAGCCACGTAAATGGTTCAGTAGTCTCAGTAGAAAATGCTAGGTATCTACAGAATAGCTTGTATTATCATTCTCAAACAGGTGAACGGCCCTTTGGAAAAACCTACCTCTCCCTACCAGCTACAGACTCTACGTTACTTCTTTGGTCTAGATGCTGAACTTAGCTGGCTGAATGGCAACATAGAGATTAATGGATCTAACCTCAGTGCTCATAGTGACTCTAGATTAGAGGCAGATTTGAACCAGAGAAAAGTATCTCATAAGAAGTGGTGTGATAGAAGTGCTATATCTAGAAAAACTTTCAAGCCTGGGAAGATAGCAAGGGCAGTATAAGAGTACATTCAGTCACTGACTTGAGGAAAGAAATTTAAAAAACCATCGGTATTGTACACTGAGTTGGAGTGATGTTTGCTATCACTAGGTGATTTAGCATAGAGCATAGCATGTGGTATCTTTTTATGTGAGAAAAAATTTAGAAGTTTACTGATTTCATATTAATCCTACTTTTTGAGTTTGGAATAATCATATTTAAAAGTCAAAGGTTAATTTAGAAAAAAAAAATATCCAAGCTTATTATGAAGCCTAATTCAGTAAGACCAGTAGTGTAAAGGGTTATGATATTTTAATTTGTTAAAAACTTCTTCTCACAAAAAAACTGTAAGCACAGTTAACCAGTGAACCACAAGTCTCAGTGACCGCAAAGTTTGGTATTAACTGGATATGCCCTTGACCTGTCCTTTCCTTCTACAAATGGACATAGTGACCTCAAAGTCGTTGATCCTCAGCGGTGTCTCCTTTACATAAGTGCTTATTTATGCCATTTCAGGATCATTTATGATCCTTCTTGCAGGTACCACCTCATCCTCGTATGTGAACGTATCATCGTAATACGGTTTTAAGGAGCATGGTTCTCTCTCTGCATATGCTTTCTTTTTGGCAGGAGCGAAAGCTGCTGGCTACAGCTCAGCAGATGCTTCAGGACAGCAAGACAAAGATTGAAATAATCCGCATGCACATTGTGAAAGTATCTCAGTCAGCAGGAGGGATGGAAGATACAGTGGATTCAGCAGGTAAGGTTTTTTAAGTAACCAATACAGCTCGGAACAGATGCAGCCAAAGCCCCAAGATCCAGAATACTCAGTCAATTTTCATCCTCACCATATTTTATCTCCAAAATGACCAGTGAGGATGGGGACCACCATCAGTGCTTTGGAGCTGCGTATTGAGGAGCTGAGACATCACCTGCGCATTGAAGCTGCTGTAGCTGAGGGGGCAAAAAATGTGCTGAAGATCCTAGGAGGGAGCCGGGTACAGGATCGCAAGTTTTTGGCTGAGGTAAGCACTTATTCAGGCCTTTTTGAGAGGGTGGTTTCATGCTCAACATTAGTGATTTAGCATGAATGAGTAGAGTTAACCAAGAGTTATTAATTTGGAAAGTTCTTGTCTCTCTGAGGACAGACTGATTGGGATCACTTTCCCTTATAAGGAGAACGTTCCTTGCTTTGGTGAAATTTCTCAGGAACATCAGAAGTGACACTGATGGAGTGGTTAGGATCTATGGGAAAATATTTTGTCTTTTTCCTTTGTTAGTAAGATGTTTTCTGGTCTTTTTTTGAAGCTTAAAGGATTACTAGTACCTGGACTGGAGCTGTACATTGAAAATTACTGCCTGCTTTCTGTTCTACTTCATATTGCTAGGCTCAGGGTCGTTTGCAAGAGTCCTCCCAGAAGATTGACCTGCTGCGCTTGTCCTTGGAACGTCAGCTTAGTGAGCTTTCTCCTGATCACCCAAAAAGAGCACTCATCAAGCAGGAACTAGTAAATACTTCCTCCCTGGGAGCTCAGCATGGCAGCATCCAACCCACTTCTGTCATCAAACCTACAGCCCTTACAGGTACATACATCCTGCATGGCATGTTGTTTTGAGAAGGTCAGAGGGAAAAATGAATTGCATTTCTTCTCATTGTTGTAATGCCTCTTGTTATATGGACATTTGATTTTCTGGGAGCTGGACTTGTTTCTTCTAAGCCAGTAGGCTTAGAAGCTTCCTGATCATACAGGTTTGCAGTCTATTAATTTGGGCTAGATTTGAACTGTTAACCAAGAAATTATGAATCTGAGAAATTATTAATATAAATTAATGTGAGGACAGGTTGACTGGAATCACTTTATCTTTTACATAATAATACTCTACTCTCCTAAAATTCCTCAGGAACATTGGAAGTGAGACTGATGGGGTGTCAGGATCTATTGGAAAATGTTCCAGGACGTTCCCGAATGACTAGTTCTTCTCCCATCTGTGGCAGCCCAAGTGATTTGAGGTCCCTTTCCCGTGCACGAGTTGGCCTGGGTATCCATGGCCGCAGTGTTGCAGGAAAGTACCTGCGGAATGAAGAGCCTTGTAGTGAGTATGGGGTTGCCTGTTGAATTGTGAGTGGTGTATGGGCGCTTCTAATCTGGGTGCTACGTTAGCCTGGTACGAGTGTAATTATAAGAAACCTGGTTTCTGCAAAACTGAGAGAGAGAATTAATCGTGTTATACCTGATCCTCCTGCTTCTCACCTAGGAATTAAATTTGATTGGGATATTCACCTTCAGTATGAGAGATTTGCTTTGGTAAAAGGTTATAATCCATGTTTTCTCCTTTGTCCAGATGAGGCCCTTGCTGTGCTCAAAGTGGACAATAAAGTGGTTGGCCAAACAAACTGGGGACCAGTTAATAACCAGGCATGGGACCAGAGCTTTGTCATTGAGCTGGACCGGGTAAGTCTGCCCCAGATTCCCTATGTTGTATTTGTTTTTCTCTTTCACCTTACCCGATTTGCTCGTTTAGCTGCCATTCCACTTGATTCAACTCTGTATTGCTGCTGTCCCCATGTCCTTTTATGTGCCAGTTATCTTAGTCTTCCCCTGAAGGCAGTGCATCTCTGGCAGAGATTCAGCCTGAACAGCGTCTGTTGTCCTTCTCTCCTTATCTGAGCAGTTTTATATCATCTTACCAGCAAAGTGGCTCTCGCAGGGATTTCTGAAATGAGGAGCCAAGACAGCCATCTCCACAAGGGTCTTGTAGCTAAGAAGATCTGAAAACATCACAGAAAGCAAGGAACAGAAGGATTAAAGAAGTTTATGCGTACTGTTTACTGATTTTTACAATTGTGTGTGTGTGTGCCATTTCCAAATCACAGGGCCATATGTAACTCTTCTGCTTTTTTTTTCTCCCCCACCACTCACCCACCAGTCTCGTGAGCTAGAAATTGCAATTTATTGGAGGGACTGGAGAGAACTATGTGCAGTGAAGTTTTTACGTTTGGATGATTTCCTTGATAACAAACGTCATGGGATGTGCCTCTCACTTGAACCCCAAGGAATGCTTTTTGCGGAGGTATAAATGCCAGCTTTGTTTCTTTTTCAGAGAACTCTGTCTCTTTAGGGTGCCTGCCCTGAAAGCGGTTGTTCAACCCAGGATACAAGGAATGGAAGGAGCAATAATCTAGAAGGGTAGAATGACACCTGAAATCCTTTTACATCAATATCACATACAACAATAAGGAACAACATGATATAATAGATGTACATGTGCCATAGCCCTAAGTGACTCTTCAGCTGCTCCACTGTAATTATATGTGTGTGTGCTGTGAAATCCGTTGTTTTTTATTTGCTTTCATTATGAGTCATTGGTGACACTTTAATTAAACGTTTGGCTTAATGGTCAGAATTGAGTCACAGAGACTATAGAATCAGAGATCCAAATTCCCTCTGGGTATGCTTATTTTATCATCTTTCTGAGGCTAATAACTGTTTGAAGTACCATCAATGAAGAGATCATCCAGATAATCCCTTAAAAGCTGCAGTACTTTCTCCTTTGTGTTGTGATGAGAGTTCCTGTGGTTATCTTTCCAAAAGTAAGATCTTGACCTCGTGTACCAAAATTTACCTCCTCTCCCCTCTTTCTTGTTTTTTGTGGTTTTGTTTTGTGGGGGTTGGTTTTTTGGTTTTTGCTTCTGTGCCATGGACTACTACTTTTTTTTACCCTACAAATGGCTGTGTTCTTTATGCATGGCTTTACAAATTACATTAATTTTGTTTGGGATATGAACTGGCCTTAATTATGGGGGTTTTGTGCATTTCAGGTAGCAGAAAATTCCAACATCTAAAACCACAGTTGATGAAACAGATGTTTAGAGGGTGAACCTAGAATAACACAGTCTGGAGTCTGTCTGTGGGAGTGACTCCTAACTTACCAAACAGATATGAATGGAGAATTTGACGAGAGAGCAGGCATGTGTGGAAGTTTGTGTTCACAGTGTAAATGAACAATCCTGACAAGTCCCTTGTGCTTCTCTGGCAGGTGATGTTCTGTAATCCTGTCATTGAGAGAAAGCCAAAACTTCAGCGACAGAAACGCATTTTCCCCAAACAGAAAGGTAAGCTGCTAGAGAACTGACTGCTTACTATCTAGGATGTGTAGATGAGAGCATGGACTCCTATCCAATTAAATTTGTGAGACATTAAAATGATTGCTCATTACTGTTTGTAGGCAGGTGGGCTTTATTAGAATGTGAAAGTTTCTTCAGTCACAAAAAGTGCAGGCAGCCTGGCTGCAGCATGGTGTGTGATGTGATATTGTTGTGGTGTTTCTATTCACAATTAACATTGCTAGTAAGATATAATTACTAGTTACTTAACAGATTTCTTAGCAAGATCTAGGACTCAAGCTGTACTAATTTAACCAGCAATTCTGTTACTGATGAACAGATATTGGAAGGTTTTCTAGAAAACTCTGAATCATAGAAGACTGTAGCATGAACAGGCTACTGATTGTCTGTCAAGTTTTTAGAGCTGGCATCTCAGATTAATAGTTTAGGGACTGGAATAACTTGCATACTTTCTTCTTTGTCTGCAAATTCTTTCTTGGGAAGCTGAATAAGGTAAGACTTTACATACTGAGGACTCCTGGCAGCGAAGATAAATGAGATTTTTTTTTTATATATATATGTGTGTGTGTGTGTGTATATATGCTTCAGGAAGTAGTTAAAATAATGAAAACATCCCAAATGTTTTACTCTCTTTAAGATGTTTTCAGAAACTTTCTGTTAACAGGCTGCATGATTAAAATACAGTGTTGAAATAGAAGAAAATCTGACAGAATAAAATATTTTTTTTATGTTTTATGCAATTTCTACTTGAGGATTGTTATGATATTATATAGAACTAAACATAGGAGAAATAGTAGATCTGTTTCATCATTATTAATCTTTCATCCCTGGGAAAAAAGCTTATTCTCCCTATGGTGTGCCACCTTTTTGAGTAACCCATGGGTGTTTGGGTGAAAATGGTAATGGTACCTGAGATTGTAATTTGTGCATTGTAATCTCACTGGTGTTTTGACTTTGACTCCTCCAGGGAAGGAATTTCTCCGAGCTCCTCAAATGAACATAAATGTTGCTGCTTGGGGTCGTCTGATGATGAGTTTCCTCCCCCCATGTAGTTCCTTGAGCACCCTGAGTCCCCCGCTTCATGATCCCATTCACACAGACTTCTCTCCAGTTTCCCCGCAAAGTCATGTTGATTCAATGTCCAAACTGAGCAGGTAAGTCATGTTCTGAGTGTTGCTGGATGACGCTCTGGAATGGGTGTAGGATAGATCTTAAAATTCTGTTGCACCTTGCTAAGGTGAAGGAAGATACTGATGTGAAAACTGTATCAGTGGAACTTAATTCAGGATTTTATGAAAAGCCAGTGCTGCTTGAGACAATGTGGCTTTAGTGGGATGTTCAATGCACTGTGGCCAGCTCTGATTTATTGTGAGCAGTTGGACTGATTTTCAGAATGCTGTCCTAACAAGCAGTGTGTTCCAGAGCCAGGGGAACTTCAGCAGCTTTCTTTTCCTCTGCAGTAAGAATTGTGGGCATAAAAGTGGTAATAAGTAAACACTGTGATACAGAAAAAAACAAAAGCAGATTTTCAAAAGTTGTTTTATATACACAAAAAGATGTACTGGTTCTGCACTGCAAAGGAAAGAAAATTCTACTTGTTAAACGTCTTCCAGTATAGTAACTGAACTCTATGCAAAGTCACAATGTGATTGTTGAAGTAAAAATGCACTCTTTCATGAGGTTACCTGTACCCCAACCACTAGCATAACGTAGCACTCGGTACATAACTAAGCTTTTAAATATTCTGTAGAAGAAAATTTTCTAAATAATAATTTTTTAAAATTGAATTATTTTTTAGATAATTAATCATTCACTGAGACTATTCCCACTGATTCACAAGACCTAGAAAATTAAAAAAAATTAGTCAACTACTGTGTTGCTATTAAAATCAAGACTTCCTTTAAATTCTTGATCATAGTGACTTATTTCTACACACCTATGTTTCATTTTATAGCATCAAAGAGCTAGTGTTGGAATGTGAGTCTAACCATCACCAACTTAATAGCTCATTTTCTTTTCATTCATTTAGGTGAGCATATGTCTTGTTATACTTCACAGCCTTGTGGTGTGAATCAAGGAGTTCTCTTTGCTTATATAGCAAAGGTGATACAAAGGTGTCTGTGTACAATGTGCTGCCCTAAGGCAATCTCCTTCAATTTTGTCTCACAAATGCAGTGACTTTCCTGTGGCTAAGCTTACGTTTGCTGATGAAGCACCACCCAAGCCTCCACGCCTTTTACTGATGGCCAACTCCAAAGAATCAACACCATCTCCTGCAGATTCTCCGGTAATGATCTGGGCTAATAGGGAGACTTTTCTTTCAAGGCCTGGTTTTTCTTAATTGTTTATTACTGGAGAAATTAATTCTACTTTAGGCAGGTGCCACCTCATTAGCTGGCTGATCTCCAGGGACTCAGAATCCAGGGAGCTATTTTGGCATGGTGTCTTGCCCAAACTGTTGCACCCCTTCTTTTTTTTTTCCCCCCTTCTTTTT